GAGAGGTTTGGGCTCAGAAATGACCTTCCCTGATCCAGCAAAATCCCTCATTCAGGACTGATCAGGTCCCAAAGATGCTGCACCAAGGAGGTCCAACCTGTACTAAAGTTAAACTGGTTATAATGGAGAATGAGAAATTGAAGTTGCTAGTGAAAGATAAGCAGGAGAGAGTGTTATGGGAAAATAAGAGTTAACAAGGCTATGACCCAAGCTTATGCTACTATTAGGTTTTGAGCAAGGTTTTTAATGATTGTTTTGGAGAATTGTAAATGTTTAGTTAAATGCTGTCTAAATTGAGAATATCAGAAAGCTATTGGTGCAGATTTGAATTTCAAGTTTGTATTGTAAAGAGCCAATAAGAAGGTAGTAGAAATATAATTATTGTAAAGGGATGTTTAATGTTAATTAGTATTACAATACAAAAGGTATAGATTTGTTAAATAATGGAAAGAGCTGCAATTAACATAAAAACAGGACTGTTTGGCTCTAACAGTTCTCTGTCAGTGGATTGGTCACCTATTGCTACATCATTTCATTTGAGTCTGAGTGCAATAGCAGCAGCTGTGCAAGTAATAACTGCATGCCCATTTTTATTCAAAATGTATTTTTAAAAAATTAGTTGACAGATAGCCTTGTGGCCTCTACATTTTCTATAGCTGATCTCAAGGCTCAGATCTGAAAACCAAGTTGGTTTTTACTGCATCTTTTAAGAACTTTAATATTGAGAATACAGGCAGTTCACGGGTTACGTACAAGATAGGGACTGTAGGTTTGTTCTTAAGTTGAATCTGTATGTAAGTCAGAACTGGCGATCAGTTTCAGCAGCGGCTGACTTGGGGACTCCTGAGGCAGAGCAGCACCCCAGCTGTTCTGCCCCAGGCATCCTGATTCAGCCGCTGCTGGTCAGTTTCAGCAGCGGCTGACTTGGGGACTCCTGAGGCAGAGCAGCACCCCAGCTGTTCTGCCCCAGGCATCCTGATTCAGCCGCTGCTGGTCAGTTTCAGCAGCGGCTGACTTGGGGACTCCTGAGGCAGAGCAGCACCCCAGCTGCTCTGCCCCAGGGTCCACAACAAAAGCCTGGTCTGCTGGGGACCGTCTCCAGCAGATCAGTGGCACCGGGAGCAAAGCCGCAGCCGCGGCGGGGTCCCGGGCTTCTGAGGCTTTGCTCTGGTGCGGGACCCGCCGCCGCTGACAGTCCCCAGCAGGCCAGGGGCACCGGGAGCAAAGCCGCAGCCGCGGCGGGGTCCCGGGCTTCTGAGGCTTTGCTCTGGTGCGGGACCCGCCGCCGCTGACAGTCCCCAGCAGGCCAGGGGCACCGGGAGCAAAGCCGCAGCCGCGGCGGGGTCCCGGGCTTCTGAGGCTTTGCTCTGGTGCGGGACCCGCCGCCGCTGACAGTCCCCAGCAGGCCAGGGGCACCGGGAGCAAAGCCGCAGCCGCGGCGGGGTCCCGGGCTTCTGAGGCTTTGCTCTGGTGCGGGACCCGCCGCCGCTGACAGTCCCCAGCAGGCCAGGGGCACCGGGAGCAGCTTTTCTCGTCCCGGAGGTCGAGGTGGCGGACCGCTGCCTGCAAGCTCCGGGGCGAGAAAGCCCCGTTCATAAGTGCAGATCCGACATAAGTCGGATCCGCGTAAGTCGGGGCCTGCCTGTATATAAACATAAAGGTTACAAAAAATGATGGGGTTGTTGTGGTATATCCAAAAACCACTCCTCGGTATCCATTACTGGGGTCAAAGGTGAGAAAGGAGAGGTGCACTGTGGCATGTACAAACCTACTTTTTGTAGGCTGCTTTGTCCATCAGTCTTCTCAGATGTATTCAGGGATGCTCAAGGTTGCTGCACCACAAAATAGTTCATTGGCTCATGAAGAGAGAGAAGCTTTTGGGCCACACAGCATTGAAGAGCTCTGAGGGACTCAGAATCTTGCTCCTCTCACGAACAGAAGTCTCAGAGTAGCTGCCACGTGAGTCTGTATCTTCAAAAATGCGGAGTGTCCATTTATCCTCTGGCACAGATACTGTTCATTTTGGCTAACATACATGTCAGAGGGGTATTGCTGGCACAGATCACATTAGTGGATGTGCAAGTGGATGAGCCCCTGATGTGATGGCATATGTGGTCAGGTCCTGTGATGTTGCTTGCATAACCATGTGGACAAAGCTGGCAAGGGGGTTTGTTGCAAGGTTAGGTTCCTGGGTGTTTCTGTGGTGTGTTATGTGGCTGGTGGTGTTTCAGGTTGGGGAGTATTGCTTGTAAGCAAGGCCTAGGGATGTTAAAATGTGTATTTTTTAAAACCAGCAGTTAAGAGATTTACACACATGGGGGGCGAGGGGGCAGGAAGGGAGGCGGGAGTGGGTGCTTGTAGGGAGCTAGCTTCAAAGCCAGCTCCCCGGGCACATGAACTCCCACCTGCTCCCCCACACCGCTGCCTCTAATACAGAGGCAGCAGCAGGTGTGTGTGGAAGGGGTGGCGCTGCGTGTAACCGTGAGGATTAACCAATGAGCTCATCAGTTAACCATGTACATGAGAACATGTTCACATCCCTAACGAGGACTGGCCTGTTTCCCAAGGTCAGAGAATGAAGGATCATTTTTCAGGATAGGTGGTAGATTGAAAATGATGTGCTGGAGGGGTATTAGCAGGGGGCTGTAAGTGATAACCAGCCATTCTTGTTATTTTCCTTGTTGGGCCTGTCCTGAAATAAGTGACTTCTAGTACTCATATGGCTGTGCCAATCTGTTTCTTCACTTCACCAGGCAGGTATTTAAGTTTTAAGACTGCTTGATAAACATCTTATACATGTTTGTCTCAATGAGGGCATGTGGGCAAGAACAGTGGTCAGCAGGTTTCTGCTCTAGGATGGTGTTTACGTGGCCATCATTTATTTGGACTGTAGTGTCTAAGAAATGGATTGTTCCAGGCTAAGGTTGATAGCGGGGTAGAAATTGAAGTCCACTGGGATTTCAAAGACATATATGTTATCAATGTAACATATGTAGAGGAGTGGTGATAGGGGACAGGAGCTGAGAAGCATTTAAAATTAGCCACAAAAATGTTGCCTTATTGTGGCGCCATGTGCATACCCATAGCAATGCCACTAACTGAAAGGTATAAATTATTCCCAAATCAGAAATAGTTGTGGGTAAAAAAGTCATATCACTCAGCCATTAGATGTGCTGTGGCATCATTAGGGATACTGTTCCTGACAGTTTTTTAGTCAATCTTCACGTGGAATATTAGTGTGTAGAGTTTCTATATCCACAGTGGCCAGGATTTTTTTTTCCCCAGGAAGATTACTGATGGTCTGTAGCTTCCTCAAAAAAATCAGTAGTCTCTCAAAGATAGTTAGGATTGCTGGTGGCATAGGGGCTGTGAAGAGAGTCCAAAGTTTGTCCAATACAAAACGTTATATAGTGCTACTTCAGATAGGGTCTTGGGGGGCAGGCGGGGAAGGAACAGCAGATTTAAAATTAGGAAAGCTACTTTATGATTAAGAAGTCTGATTAGACCAGAAAATGTTTTAACAGGCATGGTAAACTAGGTTGAACCTCTGCTACCAGAGCTGAGGCAATAGTTCACAGGTGATATTTGAGCATGATGCACTGGAATTCCAAATACAAGTCTGATTGTAAGACTGCTAACAGCAATTCTGCCAAACTCAATGTGCATCCTCTGATGTTAACTGTGAGTCTCCATATTACTCTGAGAATAGGGCAGAAAGCTTGCTGAACTTATAGCATGGTTGGGAACATGTCACTGGTAGACCCTAGTGGTGTTTTTTTATTAATTAACATGACCTCCATAACCAGGCACTCAGATTTAGATGCTTTTTTCAGTACCAAGGGAAGCATCTGAAACTGAAGTAGGTAATATGGAAATTCTGTAAGTTAGACAACCCCTCAGACCAATTTGGGAATGTGAGAGCACAGGACTCAGTATAAACAAGTACTGCTTTGGTTAAAAGAAAAAAAAAAGTGGCCTCTGCAGAAGCTCCAATCACTTTAGTCTCTGAAGTGGGTTTTTTTTTTAAAGCATATTTACCACACTGCCTTTGCACCCTTAGTCAAGATAGCCAGGATCAGTCAGTTTTACAGCTCATTGGAAAATATTTGTACATGTTTTCTGTCTTAAACCTACTCCTGATCTTCATTTTGGCTGACTGCTGAAGAAAGATACTCTGAGTGTGTCAGTTACTGTTCTTGGATAAAGACAAAAAGCTATGCAGGGAAGAATTATTCCTGATGTTACTCTAGGATTTCTTTGCTCTAGGTCTGTGACCATTACACTGCATAGAGAGGACTTCCAGGAGAGGAGGGCAAAGGGCCTTTGGACTAATAAGAATCCAGAGACAGAAGGGTATGCTTTTCCACAGTGGACTTCAAGATGGCTGCTGAGAAGACAGGGCAGGGGCCTGTTCTAAAATGGCTGCCTGCAGTACACAAGCTTCCCCACACAAAAATGGGCACCAACACCCCACTATAAAGAAAAGTTTTCAAGAGGCCTATACTCGAGTGGATGCCCTGACTAAAACATGTCCACTGTCTGGTCCTCCTCTCTCCATGCCAATGTGCTCAGCTCCTTCCTGGTAAGTCCATACGTGTGGCAGCAAAGTGGACATGTTTTCTGCCACCATCTGAATCCTGCTCCCCACTGCAGGCAGTTCCCCAGGCCTAGTGGAAGCATAACTCCCTAACTCATACTTCTTAGGCACATGTAAGATAGGTTCAAGGCACTGGAAAAGTGGTTAGACCATGGCATAACATGAGTATTGCTCTCTTATCCCAACACCCATTTTTAAACCATCCTGATTCATGACAACACACCTAGAACCTTCCCCTGACACCAGTTAATCAAAATACCTCAGGTAGTAAAAAGACTTATCTGCACAACCCGTTTAAGATTTCAAATCTTATTTGAGGTAACAGTGAAAGTGATAATTCAGTTAAACAGAAGTGTGTACTAATTAGCTTTGGTAAAATCAGAACAATCTAATAGCTCAGTAGTAAAAAACCAGCACTATATTTTATTTCTTGTAAAAATCTTTTATACACATGCAGACTAAAACCAGTGTAAGAAAGTATTCACCATTGTTTAGACAAATAACTATACTTAAATATCAGCGTCTGCAACTGGCCTGTATAAAAATAATGTATTTTTTAACAGAAATATGCTCTCCAGTTCTGATATTGATGAACAATACACAACTCTAATATGTACAGTTTAACCTGATCATTGTTTTCAATAAATCATTTGATACTGCTAAGGTATTTTATGTGCAAAAATTTAACTGATAGCTCGCTCTTCCAAAGGAAAAAAATGCCATACATGTTTTAGAAAGTTAGAAGTTGGGCTTTAAATAAGACAAATCCTAATCAGTTTCTTCTTCAATCTCACAGTCCATATGTTCTATTATATACAGGTTTAACTAAAATCAGGTACAGGCCCAAAATTTAGCGTCTGTGTCTGCTATGTCCTGAACGACTGCTGCTATGGTGCTTGCCTTTATGAGCTCTCTCAAATGAGCGGGATCTTTCACGCCTGTCCCTGTGATGTCCCCGTTCGTGCCTGTGTTTCTTAGCAGCATCAGTGTGATCCCTGGATTTACTCTGAGAGCGTGAGCGAGATTTTTTCCTTTTGTGACCATGCCTATTTGCACTCTTCAACTCTTCCCTGCTGTGCTTGGTTTTTAGGTGTGGAGATCCATGATTATGATGTCTGTGAGGACTGCCACTGTGACTTCGGGACCTGCTTCTGGACCTTGAGCTGTATGTTCCCGATAAGCTTCTCCTATTATTGTAACTTACAAAAAGAAAGTTAAAATTAGTATGTTTACACTAAAAATTAAAAGGCGTCTGCCTTAACTTTAAACAGGTTTGAAAAAAGTTTAGACTGCAATAAGCACTCATCAAGTACAAGGCAAAGTACCCTATTGTCAGACAAATAACTTTAACAGTGTGTCTCAAAAACTTTTGAAAGCTAAATTCCCCCTCATCAAGAGCAAAGCAACTTCACTCTACTGTCAAACCACTCACTCAGTCCTACTCAAAATTCAACATAAGCGATCACTCAAAAGGGAGGAGATTGTAATTCTTACTATCAGGGCTCGCCGAATGCTGTCTGGCGATCTGTGCATGCGCAGATCTCCCGAACTCGGCTCTTGCAGGTTACAATCTACTCACCATAGGCGAGTAGATTGTATAATTTGTCGAGCCCTGCTTACTATTATGGAAGTTAAAATGCAGGATTTTTTGAGGGGGTTGGTAAACATGTAACCACAGGGGGAAGGACAGGCAGCTCTGCAGTAGAACCAGTGCTTGCAGGGAACCAACTCCAGCCTGCTCCTCCCTCCCTCTCCAATTCAGAGGCAGCAGCTACCTGAATGTGCAGCAGGGGTAGGGCCAGGACCTGTCTCATGCTGGGACCCAAACCTGCCCCCACAGCAAGTCTGCAGTTTAAACATAGCAAGAGCCAAGCAGCTCTTGCTACATTTAAAATGCAGAGGTGCAGTGGTCTGGGACCTGGCGAGAGCCAGGACTGAAAAGTCCAAGCTCCTGCCAGGTTCCAGACTGCTGTACCTCTGCCTCCCCTCCCGCACCACAGAGATGGTGCTGGGGGAACCAGCTTTTAAGCCAGGTCCTCCCAGCTGCCTCTGGTACAGATGCAGCAATGGCGGGGGAGGAGGGAGGAGAGAAGAGGAGGAAAGCAAGTAGGTGAGTAGTTATTCGATTACCTGATAAGCCTAGCCTTATCAGGTAGCTGACTACTGGACTCATTACTTAAATCCCTAGCATGTAACTGCTGAAGCTTTCAGCGGTTACATGATTAAATGCATTTTTGCACCGTAATTTAAACGGCTAACAACATTTCTATACATGTTCCTTAATATGAATATTATATGCACATCAGATATTTGGGAAGGAGGTTGCAACATGCATGGAAAGTTTTAAAATTTGGTTTCAAAGGAGACTCCAATTCTTACAGCACTTTCAGTATACATACACCTTTCCCCAGGCTTTAAAAGGGAAATGCTTAAAAAAATATTGAAAATGGAAACACTTAGTTACAAGTGAAGATTTTGAAATAAAATTCGAAAGAGGACCTTACTCTGTTATAGCTGAGTTTTGATATTATATAATTTTGATCCTTGAGTAGTTATAGATACTTTCACCACTGATTTTCATCCACATTTGGATCTACATTTGAATATCCACTGGACACCAGTACATTTCCAGGATACTATACTTCACCAGTTTACTAGCAGTAACCCTTGTAACTATTTTAAGACCTTCTACTAGAATTACCCCCTCTTAAAACAGTGAATTATCCTCTTAAAACAATAAGCAGTCTTGTGGCACCTTTGAGCCTGGTCTATACTAGACCAAGTAAGTCAGCTTAAGGTATGCAACTCCAGCTACGCAGAATGCGTAACTAGAGTTAGCTTACTTTAAGCTGAGCCATAGTGGTGTCCTCACAGTGGGAGGCTGATGGATATACATGCACCCGTAGGCTTGGCTTCCCTTACACTCCTTGAAAAATGAGAAGTACTCGACAACAGCAGGGGCTGTCCTCAGCATTCGATTTACAGGTCTATATTAGACCCACTAAATCAAATGCTAGAAGAACGACCTCTAGAGGATCAATCTTGTTAAATATAGACAGACTAACTTCACCAGATGAATTTTACCCATGAAAGCTCATGATATATTTGTCAGTCTCCAAGGTGCCACAGGACTGCTTGTTGTTTTTAAAGTTACTATCATGACTATCCCTCAGTCTTAAAAAAAAACAAAAAACAAAAAAACCCCAGACATTTAGCAATCAATAAGTATTATTTTCACTTACTGTCTCCTAGGAGTATGAGATCTAGACCGTGACTTTGTTCTCGATCTTGATCTACTAGCACTTCTGCTGCTTCTACTTCTCTTGCTTTCTTTTCTCATGCTTAAATTTAAAAAAAAAAAAAAAAAAAAAAAAAACAAGTTATACTTAAAAAGCAATTTTATTTTCACAAAACTAGACAAACCTGAAAGTGCCACACACACAAAACATTTTACCTACCCATTGTAAGGACTCTTTGAAGCTAGCTGCCTTTCTTCTGGTTCTTTTTTAATAGTTTTGGCATTCACAGATACTGGTGTTTTTTCTTCAGTTTTCATTTCTCTTGGGGAAGCTAAGAATTAGAGCAAATAATTCAAGGTTAAGGAGTTCTACACTAATGGTAGAATTTGTCATCAAGGGACAGAGGATTTAGGCAAATGCTAACTTTATGCATGTGCTAACTAGAAACTTGATGCCAACTACTTCTCTTCCTCTTTAGTAGCTGTCCCAGTAAGAGGAAAATACTACATGAGACACCAGTAAAATCCTTTATTGAAGTAATCTGTAACCATTGACAAATGAACTTTTTTTTTTTTTTTTTTAAAAAAGATGGATCTATCCTTTTGCCTAAGCTACCTGTAATGAGCACAAGTTAGGAAACAAGATGAAGCAGGTCTCTTCATCAAGAATAATTCCCTGCTAGATCTCACTCCCCTCACATATCTACTTAGAATCCTAGGAAAATATAACTGTCCAGAGCACTGAGGGGCCATTTAAAGGTGAGAAATGATCTAGACCAGGGGTTTCTGAAAGTGTTCTGTGGAATTACTGAGAAACTTTTTCTCCGTTTCGTCCTTTGCAGCCAAGGGTATCTGCAGGAACGGGCGTGGGCTGGGCCACTGCTTCCTGCGGCTCCACTTAGCCATGAAGAGCAAAACGGAGCCAATGGGAGCTGCGAGGCTCCACGGCTGCGGTGCTGGTAAATAAACAAACCAGGGCAGCCAGTTAATGTTTCTCAGTGATTCCACGGAACACTTTCAGAAACATTGGTCTAGACAGTGCTTGGTCCTGCCATGAGTGAAGGTGACTGAATATGATGACCTCTTGAGGTCCCTTCCAGTTCTAGTAAGTCTATGATTCTATTAAAACAGTTGGCCTTGCATCTTGTTCGAAGCCAGACTTTGGCTGTTTGAACAAATTTTGAGAACAGAAGCCTATTCTGGCTGGCCTCTCATTGAGAGCTGTATATTGGGGTAGGGAACCTCAGGCCCCAGAGCAGGATGTGCCCCCTGAGAATCAAGGCTCTCTCCAACATTAGGGAGCCTGAACTGGCACTCCAGCCTTTCCACAGCTCCCAAAATCTAGTAAGCCTAGCTCCAGGCTCTGGTGGGCAAAGGGAATGTCTGTCTCCTCAACAATTGAAAGCAACTGTTAGAAATACCAAGCACTAGGAAAATCAGGAATCACATCAGTGGCCCTCCTGACTGATTATTCTTTGGGTCAGCAGCCTCCCGACCCAAAAAAAGTTCCCCACCTCTCTGTAGACTGTGTTTTTCTTACCGAAGCTAAGAAACTCATCTTACTATTAGCTTAAACACATAAGCTCAGAATCATACACAATCAAGGTTATCTAAGAGCAAACCACTGAGTGTTTCATTTCTAAACAGATTACATTAATTACCACCATGGGCTGGATGTTATTTGAGAGGAAGGTTTTATCTTATGCTTCAACTAGCCAAAGGCAGAAAATTGGGTTGATGCCTTATTCTCAATGTCCTCAAATCCAATTTTCACTCAGCTTTTTAAGGGAGCTTGCCATATGTAAAATTACCCCTTCACCCTCCCTTTAGGCATCTCTCAAGGACTTTGCATACACTTCTTCAAACAACTTTCAAAATTTAACAATATTGCTAGTTCTCAAGGAGTAGCTATTCTGAAAAATACAAAACAAAGATTTGGTTTCTGTGCATTTGCTCTAATCTTCAAATGTACTTAATCATTTATTGTGGTGTTTGCATATTGCCTAGTACAACTGTTCTTAAACTACCAATGCCCTTTAAATTCTACTGGACTTTAAGATACTAAAAGTATCATTAGAAGATCTATTGGCAAAAAATTAAGAATTGTATTAGTTCCTTAATCATAATTTTAATTAATGGCTGGCCTGTTAAATACATAACTAAAGCTAAGTTCTGTGTATTGTGGCTATTCTATATTATTGCAAAGATAACACTGTTTATGGAACTTCCATTTCTAGATTTGTGAATTGGTCACATTCGTGACTTTAAATTGCACTGGTCCTTACTGTATCTTAGATGAGTAAACATACTGAAAATCAGTTTTGAAAGCAATTGTTAGAAATACCAAGCACAAGGAAAATAAGGAACAGAACTCATCTTTTCAGAGATATGGAAGTTGTGTCAAGTGACTAGTTACTTTAAATATTCCACTGCATTTCAGAAAAACTGAAATGAAAAGCCCACTTACCCACATAAGCCATAATTACAAACTTTAAATATTTACTGTGTACGTCCACAGTAAAGATAATTAAATTAATGTTCATGCTAAACGTGTACCATTAAGTGGCACTGGCAAAATTAACCTCTAAAATATAATGCAGTTTCCTTTCAATATTACTGCAAGTCGATAATAAAAATTCAACAGTAAAAGAAGTCGTACACAGAACATTACAACTCTCAATGTAGAATGAGACATTTTACATCTCATTCCATCTAGTGCATTAAGGCATAGAATCAGAAAGATTCATTATATATGGATATCTTCCTACAGCACTGTTCCTTGCATTGTAACTTACATGGTTTGGAAGCAGGAGAAAAGCCACCCAGTGTTGAGAGAGCTGGAGTACCATCTGGGTTTAATCCTTTTGCTTTAAGTTTAGCTTCCTGTAATGCCATTTTTCTCTTTTCTACTTCTTTATCCAGCAATTCATAATTAGGCTATGTAAGAAAAGAACATGCAGCATCAAGATTTTGGACCAGGTTTATGTTAGCTAATATACTGCATCTATGATTGTACAGGACATCCACACACTAAGCAACATGACTAAGATGAATTATATGCTGTTTGCTCTCTCCTCTTCCTGAATGAGGGTCGGTGAATGCAACTGAGCTTTTTGTTCTGGTAGATTTTTAACTGACTTTTGGACACGTCAATATGTACATCCTACACCCCTTTCCCGGCAAAGCTAGTTTTATCTTCTTTTAAATCAGACAATTCTAAAAACAAAATTACCTTTTTCCTAGTATAAAGCTTAAGAGTTGTTAGACATATCTCCTGAATCTCATCTTCTGTGGTGCCAAAGAGTAGAAACCAATGAGGACGAGTAGGTAGTGGAATCTAAAGAGACAGAATTAAGCCTTAACATCTGAAGATCAAAAAAATCTGACATCAGTATCTTTACATGTGTTTTCCAGGATCACAAAAAGTTACTAACAAATATGGCAATCCCAGGCAATTAAACATGCTTTAAAAAACAATCCCCCCCCCCCCACACACACACACTTACCTGAAGAGCTCTAGCAGCAAGATAAATACAAGCACACGCTATCGTCTCTGGTTGAAAACGAACGAACACATTAGTTCGAAGACTGTCATTCATGTAATTCCTAAAAAAAAAGTTAATTACAAGTTTGTCTCACGTTTACTTATCACTTCAAGCTTAAACAAAAACTGGAGACTCAATCTACTTTATTATTTTTTCTGTAAATTGCATATGCTTTTTGCCTTTTTTTTTTTTTTTAAAGAGTGTAGAGTTCCCATCAATGTAGTTTTAAAGGATTTAACACATTGAATTTGCTTCACTTTTGGAACATCAAAATATGCACCATTAATCACTGCTCTGAAGTCTCAATGCAAGAACTTCACAGTCTATAAATGTCACCAAATGAGTGATTTTTGCAAATATTATAGTTAAATTGATTTTTCCAAATAATTTAGGATATTCTATGAAGTAGCCATCAAGCTAAACTTTAGGAATCCATGAGGTCTAAAAAATAGTGGGTCCAGCTTTATGATCCGCCAAGCACGTTTGCCTATGGGTGTTTGCTTTCACTTAAGCAATGAAAGCCCTCTATCCAAAACAGTAAATACTTTTGTCTGAAATCTGAATGCATAAAAACTGCGGTACTTTTATGTACTCTATTATCAGGTCACAAAAGATATAACCAATAACCTGTGAAATGTTAGATTTTTCTGCTTCAAGCGTATTCTATTTTTGTAAGCAGATCGCCATCTTACTTGCTTGTCCTGTGTCAAACATTTAAGCTTGTGTTTAATAAAGTTAAAAATAACTATATTCCAACAATCATTGGAAGTGGTTACTACAAACTGCATAGTTAACTGCTCCCTCACCAAATTTCAAGAACTTTTTCCATCCGAGCTAGAATTGCAAAAGAGTTATGCCAAGGATTTTTGAACTTCAGAGACAGCTCTTAAAAATTTTTTTTAAAAAATCTAGAACGTGTGTGAATTACAAAAGTTAACAGCACAACTAATCAGCAGTGTTTATATAAAATGGTGTCTATTTGCAATTTCAAAATAAGAAAAAAGTATGAGCATGCTGTATTCACTTTAAGTAACTTTGTAATCCAAATTTAAGACAACTGAATCCATAGTGTCTGAAAGTAGTCAATCCAAAATGTGTCCATAGGTCCTTTAGATATACTAAAGTACAGTAACTAGGCAACAAATATACATTTAGAAACATGTTGAACAGTTACTTCTAGAAGCAAATATACAAATCCTTTTGACACCCGGACAGAACTAGAAGATGCTGCCAGATGGATATGGACCACTTCAGTGAATCTCGGATGAGAGCTTGCACTGGATTGACTGGAGAGAAGGGCAGCCAATCAGGCCATCCCCAGGTGAGCTGTGGTGCAGAGGGCAGAGTTCTATGACTTACCATCATGGACTACCCTTTAATTAAAGAGTAGAAAAAAGAACAAAGTTAAATTGAGTTCTCCATTAAAATAAGTTAATCAAACCATGAAAATAGTAAGCAGAAACAAGCACTAAATGCACTGCATAATAATGTGTATATTTTAATCTTGTAACTTCCAGCTCAATGTTTCTATATGGGACATGAAGCTACTATTTCTGCTACTATTTTCCTGGCTAGGAAAAATGGAAAAGAATAAACTTACCAGGCTGTCTGAACGAGGGTTTGATGACGTTCACATTCTAAAACTTGTAAATACATAACAATGATCTGAGGAATAAGAGAAAAGCTCAACTTCAATATGAGGAAAAGTGATAGATGCATTTTTAATACAACAAACAGTAGTTCTTAAAATTTGCATGTAGTGGTGTTCTACTTCCATCCCACTGCATAGGCTGTCTAAACACATCTAATCCAATCAGGTTCTTGTTCTCCACCGAGACATATCCCCAGTTTTACAACCTTTACACACGACCTGTTTCAGCAATACAGACAGAATTCCAGTTACCTTTGGGAGTGTGAAGAGTCACTCCAGGTCATTTCCAATGTTGCATTTCTTCTGCTACAGCTCACAAAGATGCTGTCAACGTTGCTCAATATTTACAAGAATATATTTCATTTGACAACTCACCTTATGTGGATGCTTGACATGAACACAAAATCCCAACTCCTTCAGTACCCTCCTTTCTGCTTTGATTACTTGATTTTTGGTGTTTATGTAGTTCTGATCAAGTATCAATGGGCTTGGAGTCCTATAGTTTGTAAGAAATAAAATCAAGACTGTTTTGCACATCCAGAATAATTGCATCTCTGTTTTCCCTTCCAACCAACTAATGGCAACAGAAACCTGTTTTAAACTCCTGCAAGCAAGTATAAGCATTAATCTTGTGCTGTCCAAGTTTAAACTAGGATTAGTTTCAACCTGTAACTCAGCTCTCTGTGGCTAAACTAAAACTGACATCTTGCTTACATTGCACAGTCAGCAACAAAGAAGTAAACTGCCTACCAGTCTCAAACTAAAATAATATGATTTACAATCTATAATGCAAAATTTCAGACATCTCTGGTACCAACATTTGAAAATAAGCAAACAATCTGAAAACCCTAATCATCATTACCTCCATCAAAAGGCTTGTTTAACAATTTAAGTGCTATCAGCTATCACTCAGTGTAAAGCAAGTTAATGTCACTTTTTGGGACAAAAGTGAAATCTATCAATTTGAAAGAAAGGAAGTGTGTCAGGAAAAAGAATAAACAATTTCCAAATGAGCTTCAAAAGAAGTCACCAGTAACCTCTGAGCAAAGAGGACTCCCCCAATTAAATACTGTGGTAGATCTTAATACACAAAGCATGATAGCAGGAAAATCTCTACTGAATAATGGGCTTAGAAAAATTAATGTGTGCACTTCAGTACTTCAAATGTTTGCAAGATAAGAACTCTTCACACAGAAAGATACACACACCCAGTGTATCATGCAATTTCCAATTTTCCCACTCATAATCCTCTAGTGTATTGTATTCAGGAAATTTAAAATGGTAAGTCTTAAAACAACCACAGGAACTAATTACTGAGTAGCATAGCACCCAAGCAACATTGTACACTGTGTATTCCCCTTCCTTTGTCTAGGTTTCTGCTGTCGATTTAAGGTTTTAGACTTAAGGTTTTAGAGCAAGGATCTGTTTCATATGCCTGTATAGTGCACAGAATATTTTGGATGCTAGACAAATCCAAAAGATAAGTGAACCCGCCCCCCCAGTAATTAATTACACTGCAGAAGACTAGTTTTTATGCAGTGTTCCCAACAAAATCTTTCTGTAATAGTACAATTGGACTGCAAAGATGCAATATCCACTAATACTGATGCAAATGAGCATAATAAACATGTGGTTCCTAACACCCATTTCAGAAGCCACGATGCTAGACAAATCCAAAAGATAAGTGAACCCGCCCCCCCAGTAATTAATTACACTGCAGAAGACTAGTTTTTATGCAGTGTTCCCAACAAAATCTTTCTGTAATAGTACAATTGGACTGCAAAGATGCAATATCCACTAATACTGATGCAAATGAGCATAATAAACATGTGGTTCCTAACACCCATTTCAGAAGCCAC